TCAACTAGTGGCAGCCACTTCTCCCACTTAGCACCTCTGTCCAGAATCAAGGCTCGGAGCATATCCTCGAGCGTCTGGATCGTCTTCTCGGACTGGTCATCCGTCTCTGGATGGTAAGCCGAACTGAACTTTAACTGGGTGCCCCTTGCCTCATGCAAACTCTCCAAGAATCGGCTGGTGAATCTTGGATCTCGATCAGATATGATCGTAACGGGCACTCCGTGGAGTCGAATAACACCACGGGTATATACCTCGGATAACTAATCCATCGACATGGTCATCGTCACAGGCATAAAGTGTGCGATTTTCGTCAGCCTGTCCACCACTACCCCAATTGCGTCGTGATGCTCGGATGACTTAGGTAGTCCCGTGACGAAGTCCATGGTAACCTCTTCCCACTTCCAGCTTGGAATCTCAAGTGGCTGTAGCAGACCTATGGGACTCTTGTGCTCGGCCTTAACTTGCTGACAGACCAAACACTTCTTCATGAAGTCTGCTACATCTCTCTTCATTCCTCGCCACCAGAACGACCTTCTCAGGTCGTGGTACGTCTTGGTACTCCCCGGGTGGGCAAAATATGACGCACTGTGGGCCTCAATCAGGATTTCCTTGCGTAAAGTCCCGACTTTTCGCATGACAATGCGGCCTCTGAACTCCAAGGCTCCATCTGTGCCTCGATAAAAGCCCTCTATGCCTCCGGCGTCAACCTTCGCTTCTAAAGTGCGAATGAACTGATCGCAGGATTGCTCCCGCCGGATTCTATCTCTCAGCATGGGCTGAACTCGCATCGAGCTAACACTCCCCAAAATCTCCTTAGGAAGTGAGTCGACGACCTCAATCTGCATCCGGGCAAACTCTCTGATAAGCTGGCGCTAGTCGGTGATAGAACAAACTGACTCACCCCTCACCTTTCGGCTTAGAGCGTCTGCTACCACGTTCGCCTTCCCCGGATGATACTGTATGGTGCAGTCATAATCCTTCACAAGCTCCAACCATCGCCTCTGGCGCATGTTGAGCTCCTACTGTGAAGATATACTGCAAACTCTTGTGATCGGTAAAGATCTCGCACCAACCACCATATAGATAATGGCGCCAAATTTTGAGTGCATGCACAATCGCTGCCAACTCTAGGTCGTGTGTAGGGTAATTCTGCTCATGTGGCTTCAATTGACATGAAGCGTACGCAACGACTTGGCCATCTTGCATTAGCACACACCCAAGACCCTGCTTCAAGGCATCACTATAGATGGTGAAACCCTAGTAGGATCCGGAATAGTCAGCACTAGAGCCGTAGTAAGCCTCTTCTTGAGCTCTTGAAAGCTCTCCTCACAACGACTCATCCACTCAAACTACACAGATTTCCTTGTCAGCTTGGACAAGGGGAGGTCAATCTTCGAAAATTCCTCAATAAATCTGCGATAGTACCCTGCTAGACCGAGAAAACTGCGGACCTCGAATGGACTTCTGGGCGCTGACCAGTTCTGAACGACGGCAATCTTCGCTGGATCAACCTCTATTCCTCTTTCGGTGATGTTGTGGCCTAAGAATGCCACTCTCTTCAGCCAAAATTCACACTTGGAGAACTTGGCGTACAACTTCTCTCGCCTAAGGGTCCCGAGAACAACCTTCAGATGCTGCTCATGATCCTCCAAACTCCTGGAGTAGACCAAAATGTCATCGATGAAGACGATAACAAATCGGTCTAAGTACTGATGGAACACACGATTCATCAAGTCCATGAACACCGCTGGCGCATTGCTCAGACCAAACGGCATAACCACGAACTCGTAGTGTCCATATCTCGTCCAGAAAGCAGTCTTGGCTACATCGGACTCCTTAATCTTCAGCTGATGATAGCCTGAGCGTAAATCGATCTTGGAAAATACGCAAGCTCCTCTCAGCTGGTCAAACAAGTCGTCTATCCTGGGGAGCGAATACTTATTCTTCACCGTTAACCGGTTGAGATCCTGGTAATTGATGCACATTCTCATGGATCCGTCTTTCTTCTTGACGAATAGGACGGGCGCTCCCCAAGGTAAGACACTTGGTCGGATAAAACCGAGTTTCAACAACTCCTCGATCTGCGTCTTCAGCTCCTGCAACTCCTTCGGAGCCATACGGTATGGTGCCTTAGACATCGGTCCTGCTCCTGGAACAAGATCAATGGTGAACTCCACCTGCCTGCTGGGTGGTCCTCCTGGTAGCTGATCCGGGAACACATCCACAAACTCACGAACAATTGGAACGTCGTGAGGTGTCTGTGCTCTCGATCTTTCATCGACAAGGCTCACCCGGTAACCCTGACAATCTCCTCTGCGCAGAATCTTCCTCGCCTTCGCCATCGAAACGACACGAGGTAGGGTTCGCGTCTTTGAGCCGAAAAACGTGATCTGACTGTCCTTCGGAAGATGAAGAATAACCTCCTGATCGTGGCAACGAATGTCTGCTCGATAACGCGTCAACCAATCCATACCGAGAATGAGGTCGATAACATAAGCTTCGGCCTTCAGGATTCGGCCGCCAATACTAAGGTTAAGGTCCTCTGCCTTGGAGCTCATCACTATCTTCCTTCCCGAGGCTAGGCTCACCTCGAGAGGGTCAACAGTGTTGATGGGCTGAACTCCAATGGCCTCTACACATCGAGTCGACACAAACGAGTGCGTCGCACCAGTGTCGAACAGGGAAAATATAGGCATACCATTTAAAATAATCATCCCAGACATAGTACCTGGGTTCTGCTTTGCCTCAGCATGCTCGACTGCATAAACCTGTGCCTGCTGTCCTCGCCTCTGCTGCTACTGCTGCTGCCTATCCGGATAGTATGTCCGGGCCTCCGACAGTGAAAGCAGACGTTCTGTCCAGCAAGACACTCTCCGCGGTGTGGGCGTCCGCCTGTGCCACATGTTGGAACCTGTGGCTGTCTTTGTCTGTTCCTCCAGTCATTCTGGTGACCCTTCCACTTCCTCTTGTTCTTAGGCTTCGCCTGCTGAACAGGCGCTGGCTGAGCTGGGGGCAATGCCGGATACTGAGCTAGGGGCAACACTGGGGGCTGAACTGATGGCTATACTAGATCCATCCTGAGACTGGCGTCTGTCTCTTGGGCCTTAGCAACGACATCGGCGTAAGACTGGACTCCATGTCCCAATATGTGGTGACGGATAGCTGGTAGTAACCCGTCACAAAAGCGTCTCGTCTTCTTCGCCTCGGTGTCCGCCAGATAAGGGACAAAGGACCCGAGACGAACAAACTCCCGCTCGTACTCATCTACGGAGCGGTGGCCTGCTTAAGCGCCAGGAACTGGCGCTCCATCTCAGCCTTGTAGGTATCCGGGTAATACTTCTCCCGCAGCATCTTCTTGAACTGTGGCCATGTGAGGTTCTCCTTCTCACCAGGGCGCAAGCCCCAGTAGGAGTTCCACCACAGCCTAGCGTCTCCTGTCATCTGGACCTGGGCACATAGAATGTTGTGCCTCTCGGAGCACTCGATGATCTCCAAAATGGCCTCGAGACCCTAGATCCATTCATCAACAAGGCGAGGATCTCCCTGCCCCAAAAACTTATCTGGGTTGTAGCCGCGAAACTGGCGTCTACCTCAGCCTGAGTCATCTCTCTCTGAGCTTGGTTCGGACGACAGGCCATCTGAGAATAAGCCGCGTAATTTGGTCAGAACAGGAGATGAAATTGAATAAGGCTGAAAGGAAATGCTGAATACTGGAACAGGCACAAATTTCTTGACGAGTTGCTGAAAATAACTCGATAATCTAGAGTTCGACTAGAGTTCGAATCTAGAGTCCTGAATTCTGATAGAGGACATATCTGATACTGCTAGGAGTCTTATACTAAAATCAAAACATATATATATATATATAAAAATAGTGAACGTTTTTGTTACCTTCCTCAGCTGTGATTAAATTTCTGATTTGAAGATCGTCGATTTATCGACATTGATCGAAGTAAAGATCGATACAGATTTCAATTTTCACATTTTTTCGATAAATCAAAAAAAGTTATGAAAAAAGAAATCGATGTGTTCGACTTTACAAAATAAGAAAGCTCAGTGATGAAACAACAATAAGCTGACAATAATCCGGCAAAATCGGACAATTTTATTCATGGAAATATTTTCAGACAAGATTCATCGAGAGAGCGAGAGAGAGAAACAAATGGAGCGGCGTAAAGATCTGAGGACGAAATGAAACCCTTATCGGGTTTTCCGTCAATTTATACCATATTTCCCTTAATATTAGCCATTAGATTTTTTGAGTTAATTATAGCCGTCCGATGTGAACCATTTTAATGTGTAATGTATTTGATTGCAACTGTTTAATTATGTGGGCTGAAAAAAAAAAAAATGACTTGGGCCCAAACATATGAATTAGATTTTAGGCCTAGTTAATTAAAAAAATTTGGCCCACATTTAAGACATTGGATTTTAGTATTAAGCACAAAAATAATGGTTGATTGATTAAATACAATTTTGGGCCAAATTAATTTTAGGTATTATAATGATTGATTAATTATTATAACTTTTTATGTTTAACAAAAATCTATATTATAAAACTCAGCTTTAACAGGATTTTGTAGATCATCTCTTATCAGTGGATCATCATTTATTCCTCAAGAAAACAACAATCGTTTGGGCAATGTTTCATATGAATATCGAAGTGTGTTGCACACTACACAAAGTGTACCGTTATCAGACATCACCAATGGTAAACATTTTCAAAATTAAAATATTATTTAATTTTTTTATTTATTTACAAGCATATATTTTATTAAAAATATTTCGTTATGTAGTATTCGAAACAGCCCCTACATCGACTTTAATACAACATCATTAATTATTGGATCGGGTGAGACACTTATATTTTTGAATAATTACATTATAAATGTTGTGCCAATTTAATAGTGTATTTATTTATACAATAATAAATAAATATTTCTATCATACAAGTGTTTCCTATGTATTTGTCATTATAATTGCTCGCAAAAAATTTAGGACTACCACCCTTCATTGATCTTACCAATGAGGATGTTAACGACGTTTTGCTTCTTAGTCCTGATAGTATATTCAAGCAACCATAAGGTAATTAAAAATGTCCATTTGAATGTTATATTTTTTTTTCATGTATTTTATTAACAAATTCAATTCAACTACGGATATACAATATGAAATAATGCCCTTTTATAATATAAGTACGTTTGTTTTATTGTAGGTATTGATTCCCATGCTGAGATATTGAATAAATGTGCTGACGATCAAGTGCCAATTACGAATCTTAAAAGAAAGCGTGGTCGACCTGAAAAAATTATCGCAAGTACGTCCACACCAACTGGTATGTTGTGATTTACAAACTTAATTTATCACTTATTGCAGGATATTTCAGTATAAATTTTTTATGTAAATATATTTTAATTGTTTACGTTTTCTAGAACTTGAAAAAATAACCGGCACTCCAACTCCATACAAGAAATATATCAAGTGAGTTATTGGATCACACTGCTGACGGTCAACTACCACTTACAAATCTTAAAAGAAAGCGTGGTGGACGTAAAAGGATTCTAGGAAGTACGTCCACACAAACCAGTATGTTGTTATTTGAAGAATTGATTTATCACTTATTGCAGTAGATTTATGTATGATTTTTTTTAAGTTTTTTTTTCAATTATTTACGTTTTTTAGAACATGAAAAAATAACTGTCACTCCAACTACATACCCAACTATATCGAGTGAGATATTGGATCACACGGCTGACGATCAAGTACCATTTGCGTCTCTTAAAAGAAAACGTGGACGACCAAAAAAAAAAATAATAGGAAGCACGTCCACACAAATTGGTATGTTTTTAATATTATTATTTTACTTGTGAATATCATTATATTTACTGGTCAGTTTTGAATTAATTATGTTTATATTATTGTAGGTGTTGATTTGCGTGATCAAGCACTTGAAAAAAGAGTCGACAGACCGACTCCATACACTACTACTTTAAGTGAAGTACTTCACCACTCTACGGATGATCAAGTGCCACCTACCAATCAAACGAGAAAACGTGGTCGACCTAAAAAAATGTTGGCGAGCACTTCTACACAATCCGGTTGGTTATCATTTGAATTTTAGTTTTATGACAAATTTTGTAAATTAATTTTATTATATAATATTAAAATATTCTTCATCATAACAATCGTAGAGTACTGGGACATGGGTGATGCAACGTCGAATGCGTGTACTGCGGAGCAATGTTTTGGTATGCCGAGAGAAAGTCTTCTGAGAGAACGTCGGTTGTTACCAAGTACGGTGGTTATTGTGTAAATGGTATCATTGACCTCTCTGTTCTACATAATCCGCCACAATTTTTGAGTGAATTGTTACATGGAGATAGCCGCACTAGCAAACACTTTCAGAAAATATTACAACAGCATGTTCGACTTTACTTCGCTGGGAGGCAAGATCAATACAGATATCAACAAAGGATCGGGACCACCAGTCTTTAGTTTGCATGGACAAAACTACTATCTCATGGGTAGTTTACTTCATTCTGAAGGTTCACCTCTTAAGTTTGCTCAGCTCTATATATATGACACTGATAATGAAGTAACCAACAGAATGAATGTTGTGAGGTCAGCATTTAAATAATATCCTTACTCGAGTATTTATTATTTTTCTTTTATATTATTGGAATGTCCTAAAATATTTCTTTCATTTTTCAGAAATGTTGACGGTGCTACTGATTTGAATGGGGAAATTATTTCTGGATTAACGACCATATTGGATGAGCACAACGAACTTTTGAAATCATTTCCTATGGAGGATAAATATTAACCAATATCCGTCCCGAGGATGAGCAAGGTCCGAACTCTTTCTATTAGTAGCAATATGAGGAGCCCCGAAGGGAAGGGAGAATAAGAAAGATTAACCGACGCCGCGTTTTCAGAAGAAGCAATTGGATAAGAATCATACGCTGTGAATGAGCAGACGAATCGATCGAGGTTCGATGTAATTGAGCAAGAACATAACCTAACTTTACTTCTTTTTCCTCCTCTCCTCTTTACTGCCCCCGTTTGGCTAGAGATAGTATTCAAGATCATGGCGAATCTAATGTCAGGATTCGTTTAATTGGAAGGAGATTTAATGATGCCAGACGTTATAACTTGCCTACGAGTTCTGAAGTTGCTGTATTCGTCGTTGGAGATTTTGATCAGGCTATGGGTGAGTGAGATATATTGGTTGAAACCTAGAGCGGACGACTACAGCGAATAAATGAGCTTAATGCTTCATATCTGGCTTTACAATATCTCCTTCTTTTTCCCTATGGTGAGGATGGCTATAGAGAAGACAATCCGTTTTCAGATCGGAAAGTAGAAAAAGAGCATGGTCGAAAAACAGTGAGAGTCCGGGAATGCTTCGCGTACCGGATCCATGATCGGGAACACGAGCCATCTACTATTCTTTCAGCGAGAAGATTGTTTCAGCAGTTTTTCTTTGATGCATATACCATGGTTGAATCATCGAGGTTGTGGTATATACGATTCAATCACAGTCGACTCCGATGTGATATTTACAATAGATTGGTGGATGCTGTTCTCCAGGACAATGTCGATCCAAGCTCTAAAGGAAAAAGAATTATACTTCCTTCTTCATTCACTGGGGTAACTCGAAACATGATTCAAAACTATCAGGATGCAATGGCAATTTGTGGATGGTCAGGTTATCCCGAATTGTTTATAACATTCACATGCAATCCAAAATGGCCCGAGAGTGTTCCCTTTTTGGAACCAAAGAGACAGCGACCTGAGGATCGCCCTGATATTATATGTAGAGCTTTTATATCAAAATTAAAGGAATTAATCAGGGATTTTTGTAAAAAGCAAATTTTCGGCAGAGTCATAGCAGGTATTTTTTTAAGAAAAAACAATGTTGTATATATGTCCATTGTGGTGTCTAACATCATTTTAAAAAATGTTCTAATTGTTTTATCTTATTTTGTGTTTCGTAGTTGTCTACACCATTGAATTTCAGAAGCGTGCATTGTCGCATGCTCATATACTACTATTTCTCGCCAAAGAAAATAAGTTCCCAGATCCTTCAGACATTGACAGAGTAATATCTGCCGAGATACCTGATGAGACGTCGAATCCTTTGTATTATGAGGCAGTAAAAGAGCACATGATCCACGGACCTTGTGGTTTGGATAGAAAATCGTCTCCGTGCATGGTGGATGGAAAATGTAGTAAACGGTTTCCTAAATAATGACATCTGTCTATTCCGGTAGGGCGGCGTGTTTTTTGTTTATGGTTATGGTGGAATTGGCAAGACATACTTGTGGAGGAATTTAGCTGTTGGGCTAAGATTGCGCGGTCGACTTGTTCTTTGTGTTGCATCCAGTGGAATAGCATCTCTCCTGTTGTCGGGCGGACGAACTGCACATTCTCAATTTGGCATTCCTCTTTCTCAATCAGGCTAGCCCCCTTGCAAAGTTGATTATTTGCTCTTCATTGATCATATGAGATGAGGCCTCAATGATGCATAAGCATTGTTTTGAAGCTGTTCAAGCTTCTTTTAAGGCAATAATGGGAACACTCGACCTAACAAATCATCATAAACCGTTCGGAGGCAAGACTGTTGTGTTTGGTGGAGACTTTCAACAAATCCTTTCATTAGTTCCAAAGGGGAGTCGTCAGGAGATTGCTAATGCTATTAATTCTTCTAGCATTTGGGGAGACTGTACTGTGCTTAGGCTTACAAAGAACATGCGTCTTCAGAGTATTGACGATTCGAATGAATGTGACGAGCTACCCGCTTTTGCTGATTGGATAGCAAGCATCGGAGATGGAACATTGGGGGGACAAATGATGGATGTGCTCCGATAGACATACCAGATGATCTATTACTAGAGCCATTCGATGATCCAATTGCAAAAATTGTTGAAAGCACGTATCCAATGTTCAAGAATGCAACCCATGATCCAAGTTACTTGAAAGACAGGGCTATACTCGCGCCAACACTCGAGATCGTAGAATCTATAAATGCATACATGTCGTCGTTGAATTTGACTGAAGGACACACATATTTATGCTCAGACAGTACGTGTAAATCTGACTCCAATATCGACTTTCTGGCACAACTCCATACTCCTGAGTTCTTGAATATTATCAAGTGTTCTGGAACACCGAATCATGAGTTGAGTTTGAAGGTCGGAACTCCAGTTATGTTGTTGCGGAACATTGATCACTCAATGGGACTCTGCAATGGTACACGATTGGTTGTGACCGAACTCTCCAATCATGTTCTTGAGTGTAAATTTCTTACTGGCGATCATGCAGGTGATAAAGTTTTGATACTTCGAATGACCATAACTCCTTCGGATGTTAGAGTACCATTCAAATTCCAAAGAATGAAGTTCCACATTATGGTTTCGTATGCAATGACTATAAACAAGAGTCAAGGTGGTTTCGTATCTAATGACTATAAACAAGAGTCAAGGTCAATCCTTATCGCATGTTGGCTTATTCTTGAAGAAACCAGTTTTTAGTCATGGCCAGTTATATGTCGCTGTCTCCCGATTTACTAATAGAAAGGGTCTGAAAATTTTAATTTGTGGAGAAGAAGGTTTGAAAGAAAATCAAACCAATAATGTTGTGTATAGAGAAGTATTTAATAATATATGATTTTTTTTTGTACTTTGTATTTCTCTATCTTTTTTTCCATTATAATCAAATTATTAATTTATAAACAAAAATATTTTAAATAAAGTTTAGAAAAAAAAGGTTTGAGGAAACAACCCCACCGTGCTGCGCACGGGTACTACATTAGTTTTGTTGAAAACTTTTTAAATATACGCATTAATTGTTTCCATATACACGTTTTCAAATAAGATCAAATCACATATGATCAAAAATATTGTTTCCTTAAATAATTTTATTAATATATGCAATAATTTCATTGATATCCATTATAATAAATTACAAGATTAACTTTCCGTGGTTCATGTTGATAGAATTTTGGTCAAGATAAATATTACAACATATTTTAAGTTCTAACCATAATATTAGTTTTTTTTTTTTTTTTCACAAATGTTCACTTTTTATCTAAAAGTATTTATAGAAAATCGTAACAGGTTAGGTAGAGTTTTTTCTTCCAATTAATCAGGCGAAATCAAGTTGGTGAATTAATCTTTGCCAATATAATTTTTTCTTAAGCTTTATTTCATTATATATAAAAAATAAATTATTTTTCAAATAGATATAATTTACCATTTAAGAGATAATGACCGAATACATTAAATATTTTTACTAGGAGATAATGACCAGATACATTAGTCCAACTTCTACCATTTCTTTCTCCTCTCCTGATAGTTTTAATAATGGTAAGAAATTAAAATTTAAATAAATTAACTGTTCTAGAATTTATTTGTATATTATTAGCAACCATGATTTGTTTTTTATCGTTTTTTTTTTATTTTAATGTCTTTCTATAATGAAATTTTTGTAAAATACATTTTCATTGCGGAGTATGCTAAATAAACTATAAATCCTTATAATACAAATTAGAAAAATCTTGATTATAGAAGGGATTGAATTATTGGCATTTGCTAAATCACAGTAGTTTAATTAGTATACAAAATTAAATTCTAAAAAAACATGTGTGTATATTTTGTAAAATATTTATACACCATTTAATTTTGTAAGTTCTGAGGTTTGGCAGCAAATCGAAGAACCTTCATCTGTTCTTAGTTTCAGACTTCACAAAAGCATTTAAGGGAAGTCTGTCTTAAATTACTTGGATTAGTTTTTTATTACTTCAGTTATTGGTCAATACTTATACATATGGCAAGTCAAAAGAAGGATCGTGAATCGCACTCCATCTATGGCCACCTTCCATGTGCACTTACCTACCATATGCACGAGATACGATTTGAGCAACCTGGACTTTCCAAAAGATGATATGACTTGGCTGGGAAGATAGAAGAAGAACTTACCATATGAGGTTGAGGATAAAAGGACGACGAGATGGCATTGAGGAGTACTTTTGATATTCTGAATTTTTCTCAAGAGCGAGGACAATTGATCGTTGGTCTTTAGTTTTCTATTTTATTT